ATTGCCTACCACCTCTCTTCATCCATATTGTCCTCTTCCCCAAAGTACTACCTCACCCCAGACCACCCCATTTTCCTCCTGCCCTCATTCTCCTACTACTTCCACCTCTGCAAATCTTTTGAGTACTCTCTTTGGCTTAGCTAAGTGAGATTGATTCTTTGTGATTCCCCTTACAGCCTCTTACTCTGACAATGCCCTTCTCTTCCAACAATGTCATCAAAAACAAGTAGGCAAAGTTTCCTTTCACAATCGTTCTGATTGTACATGCTTTGTCACAGTTACATCTGAGTCCCAAGCTTGTGCACTGTCAACCATGACTGACCTCATTGGCAAATGTATTCTGCCAAACCTCACTCCTGTCTTAATACCTCTCTTTCTCCCCGGTTGAATGTCCTATCTATAACAAGAACTGGTCTCACTGTGAAAATGACCTTCTTGCCTGCCTTGTTCACTATGATGCAGTGGCATTATAGTGCTACACTATCCCTCCTAAAGGACACCATAAACCCTTTACCAATATTGCCTATATATACAAGACCTCCCCCTTGAAGTTTATATTCGTAGAGTGTCTCCAACCATACTGACCCCTTCTTTGTCAATGTCAGAAATGTTGGCAAATTGGTTCCCAGCCTAACACTGTCACTCCACAGCTTGCTGTCCGCTATGTGCCCAACCTGGTCATGACCATTCAAATTGCCTTGCTCAGCATGTATGTTTGCCAATTGTGGTGGCTCCCATAATGTGTTTTATAGGAGCCAGCCTCGAATGTGAGGTAGCAACTCTCAGATTCAAACTAGGCCTCACTCTATGTGAGGCCAGACAGTAAGTATGGTGACAAGGTTTTTCTATCTATTCCAAAGTCCGTCACTCTGATCCTTTCCCATCTTTTCAAGATATCTCAACATCTCCCCCAGTATCTCTTCCCTCTACCCCAAACCATTCTACCTTAACTCCCCCTCTCCCCTACTCAAATTCATTTTCTAGTCTAAATCCAGATACCACTTCTAAATCTCTACCACTTCTCCAGTGCCTGTCCCTCTTCCTCCTCCTCACTTTCCCAGTTGCACCAGGAAACCTAAACATTGCACTCCCTCTTTGCCTACCACATCCTCTCCTACACCCTCCTTTTCCTCTGCTCCTCAAATATCTATCCCCCTCTTCTCCTCCCAAGAGAACCTTTACTTCTCAGACCTCCCTACACAACTCCCCTCCAGAAACTCTTGCAGACATCAAAAAGTTCCTAGACATGACCCAAGAGAATGTTCTCCATCTGCACCATTCCCTCTTCGTTCCTCATTATCCTTACCTCTCCCACCTGGATACTCATGTGAATCCCTTCTGTCACAACCAAAGACTATCTACGAAAGACCAGAAAGTCCAGCAAAATCCTGTGAGTAATGCGGTGTCGGCACAATAGATGGTGCAATAGATGGCATCTAGTGACGTCATAGAAGAGCGAAAATTGTTATGACAGTTCCGACATTGCCAGGAAAGTCTTATTCTTGTTCTGCTTGTAAAAAGCAAAAAGAAGAGAATAAACAACTTTTTTTTTCTTTCTTTTCTTTTCTTTTCTTTTCTTTCTTTTTTCCAAGGAAAAACAAAGGTTTGTAATATTTATGCTTTTTTAGATATAACCTAAGATATGTGATGGTCAGATTGACCATCACATATATAAATTGGAAGATATAAATTGGATCACATGAAATTATTTTGATTGGTAAAGGGAGCTCACATTTTTTAGACTGCGTTAGATAGCATGTTTCCTGTCTTTCGTATAAAGTCTTTGGTCTCAACACAATGACCTTCTCCAGATCCCTCCCCTTCGTGAGTCCCCTTATCTCATCCCCTGGATTCTTCTACTGCTATTTTTCCAACAGCCATCTCTATCTGTATCTTTATCCTGTCAATTATTTCACAATACCTCTTTTGCCACTTTCCCTTAAACAATGTTCCTATTGCTTCCCCAGCCACAGATGAACTCCATTTTATCTCTATACCCTTTCCTTTACTAATCTCTAATTTACTTCATTTGCACCCCCTCTTTACCATTTTCCCTATCATATTATGGTATAACACTATAACCTTTGACATTAAACACATTTTTTTCCTGATCATTAAATAATTTTTACCCCTTTTCACCATCATATGACCTTTGATGTCCAGCACATTTATTTGTTTTAACCATTAACCTTTAATTATTTGCATGTTCATTAAATATTCTTGCTTTGTCTATTACTTTTATCACCCCCTCTGTTAAAGGATTTGTGAAAACGTAGTAGTTCCACAGTAAAGTGGATGTTAGAGAAGTGAAGTTGCCTGTTTTATGTTTATGTGTATCAGAAGGCTTGAAATTAAAGATTCTGGTTTGTTATAATTTGTTTATCCTTTTCAGGCAAGGAGCTTCATGAAAGATGTTCCTGAAGAAGCTCGTGTTGCTCTCCTTCCAGGTACATCAGTGTTTGCTTACCTCAGAGCACTGCAGAAAGCAGACTTCGATATTTTTGATGGGAGTCTCCAGAAGAGAAATAGTTGGCTACCATTTACATTGTGGTGGGCAAAATTTGGGAAAACCTATTGACATTTTCACTTTTAGTTCTGTTAATTTTGTAAAATAAAATAAGTTATATGGTGCAGCCATAATTGTTTTTAATATTATCCTTTTCATATTATGGTAGAAAAACGCACAATGCACAAACTAAATTTATTGAAGAAAGTGAGACAACAGTTTCGGAATCGTCCTCGATTCCATCTTTGGGAATCGAAGACAATGGAATCGAGGACGATTCCAAAACTGTTGTCTCACTTTCTTCAGTAAATTTAGTTTGTGCATTGCGGGTTTTTCTACCATAGTATCAACATGGTAGAGTGTTTTTCCATTCATATTATCTTTACAGTATACAGTTTTCTTGATTTATGTTCCAGTTTTTGTCTGATTTCCCTTCTACCATGCCAGTATGTGTGTTGGACATTTTTATTATAAAGTAATGCAGTAAAAAAAAATCCCATCTCATCTTTTTATCTATAAACCAAACTTTATACTTGACAAGAAGAAAATTTATTCTTGATTTGTTGATTGCAAGGATATTGTAAGCTGTATATGAGTAAATATATAAGCTGTATATAAGTGTTATGAGTAAAACATTGCAAACTTTTTGAAGGAAAAAATTGGTGCCTTTCCAGATTTTGAAACACTACAGAAGATGATTGACACATATTTTTGACTATTACATTTTCATATTTAATTCTAAACAAATGGGGTGTAAATAAAGATTCATATTTATTCATATTTATATTTCATACAAGTATTTACACTGGATATCTTCAAAACAGGTTACTGATGATACTTTATACAAATGGACTTTCATGAACACACTTTTGCACCAGACATATCTTATACTCCTAATCTTAACATTCTGATTACTGTTCAAAGGCTTTGGATAGGTATTTATCATTCCAGACATCAACTAATTTTCTACCTAACTGTGAACCAAGTTCACATCATCTGACAATTGTTCGTTTCTTGTGCTTTGAAGACAATTTTTTAAATAAAAGTCAGTACAATAGATACAAATAAATTCTCACAATTTAAACTGATCATAATTCCAATTACATATATAAAAATATAAAAAGTTATGCCTGAATTAACACACACACAATAACAACAAACTGAATGAACACAAATATTTATGAACTTCAAACTGGATGCACGTGGAAATGGTATTATTTACACCATTGGTGGAGAAGAGTTGGATACATGACAGGACACAGAAATCTGAGCAATAAAAAGATTCATTAAAAAATCTGATGTTATCCATACACTAGAAAGTGTATGAAACATTCTGAAAACTGGGTTTAAAGTGAATCTGGATCAAATGGAGCTAAAGTTCATAATGGCACAATCTTGCCTTGAGCAAGACAAAGAATTAATGAAGAGAATATCATGTCTAAAATATTTAATAACATGCACATATGAGAAAAATATTTGGAATGTAACCACAACAAGTCTGTAGAGAGCAGAAGCAGTCTTGTGTGTTAGTCCACAGGTCTAACCATCACTAGTGTCTCAGAACCTTCAGCTAACCAGCTGGAGCAGACATTACCATCTTTCTCACTGTGGTGACTTCAGAGTAGGCCCGTGAATATATAGAATCGCTGCTTCAGAGGAGAGGTTGGTCTTTGGTGACAGGTTGCACAACAGCAAGTTCATTTCAATACCTATTAAAAAGAAATTTTATTACTCACTGGAGAAACAGGCTCCAGAATAACACATTTACCACAGTGTGGATATGGGATGTAAATCTCTATACCAGTGAAAAATAGCATTGGCCAATCAAAATAAGCATGTTGACAAAGTTGTGAATTTATTTCTCCTTCATGCAAACTGTGTTTTCAAAATCTTAATGCCGAGATACATTTTTCCTTTACAAACTCATTAGTGATGGGTACATTCCCTGCCCACTGTAGTTTTGTCCTGTCAACCTTGTTTAAACAAGCTGGCTTCATAAGGGCTTTGGTCACTAAGGAATCAACTACTAGTCCATCTGATACCTGGTCCATTGAATGTAAGGGAAAAAAAGTATTGAATGCTAAAGATGTTATTATCATTTTTAATATTAATACTGTTATCACCATTATTCTCATGATTTTATTATTATTGACATTTTTATCATATTGACAAATGTAAGAATAATAAACTTTTCTTTCTGAAAATTCAAGCATTTGGCTAAACAAACAAGCAGTATATGACCACTTGGTGACCAAGCACTATTGAAGCCATCTATGTGTAAACAAAGGAAACAAAAATCACAACGGACAGGGCACCTAACATCAACAGCTTAAAGAATAAAAAAATCCTTGTAGATTATTAACTCACTATAAATCTGTTATTGTAATAAAATGTGCCAATGTATGCAAGACAGGGCATAACATTAAGGAATCTTGTAAGTTACTACTGATTAGTATCTCTTGGTGTCATCAAATGACACAAAAAAGGAGAAAGGAGATGAAAAGAAAGACAGAAAGCAAAACATGCAAATGTAGAGCAAATCATTCCCAGTCCTTACCTTTCTTTCTTCTCCTCCCTGGAACTTTGTCTAAGAACAGCTGGCTTGGTACTTGTAGGTGAATCTCTTTCAAATATGGCTGCCATATCTTTGATACGTCTCTGTTGTCCAGCATTTGCCCTAGCTGCTGCATTTCCAACAGCAGCTACAGTGCTCCCTTCACTGCTACTCTCTCCAAGTTTTCCAGGTGATCTCAGAGAAGACTTTGTAGGAGAAGGTGGGGTTCCCTTCAAGATAGTAGGGGAAGGTGGCATGCCTTTAGGAATGCCAGAAGGGGGATGAATTGGTTTTGGAATTCCAGGGGACAGGGGAGTAGCTTTTGGAATGGAAGTTTTTTTCGTTGGAGATGTGGGCACAGGATTTTTCTTTTGTGTGGGTTCTTTTGGGATTCTCTGCTCTGGTTTCTTTGCAACAGATTTTTCTGTCTTTTGCATTTTGTCACCTTTTTCTGGAGATGGAGGGTCCTTAACTCTACTGTTGCTCCAAATTGCTACTCGCTCCTTCACATTGACATCTTCATCAATATCATCTTTGGAATTCTTTCTACGTCCACTCCCCCCAATACTTGCTGATCTCTGGAAAGGTGATGCTTCTGAACTTGGAGATTTTAGCGAACTTGACGAAGTCTTTCTTACAGGACTAGATTTGGATTCCCCACTGCTAGATCTTTGAAGGAGAACCTCTTTCTCTGGAGATCTTCTTAAATTGGAACGTGGACTTGTCACTCCAGACTTACTGCCACTTCCTCCACCACTGTTACTGTTACCACTACTAAGGCTTCGCTGAGACGTAGGAGTTGGACTGCCAGATGAGAAGCGAGTCCTTGTTGGACTTCTAAGTTCACCAACTCTGCCCATATCACTCAAACTCCTCCTTGCTGGTGAAGTTCTCTTGAATACTGAAGACTGATCCTGCTCTTCCTTCATTTCTGTGCCCAAGGGTAGATCTAATGAATGTTTATCATCATTATCTCCTAAAAGTTGTTTAGTAGGACTAGTACTTCCTGAATAACCTTCATAGTACTGTTTGGTGGGGCTCTTATCATCTCTTCGCCTTGGGCTTGCAGATCTAGCATTTGAACTTTGGGTAATCTCCTCATCTTCCCGTCCATCACTGTCTTCTTGTCGGGATGGACTTGTGGCCTTCTGCTTCAGCCTTAACAGTAGCTCATCTTTCTCTCCTCGAAAGCTCTCTGATTTGTACTTTTCCCTCAAGAAGGATCTCCTTTCCTCCTTGTATTTTTCAATTCTTTCTCTCTTTTCTTTATCAGTAAGATCTAAAGAGCCACTCACAAGGCTTATGTGTTTATTAGCATCCTCTGCCTCCTTAGTCAAATTATCTTGAAAAACTACAGAATCCTCAGAGTCTTTAACCTTCGGTCTGAAATCTGGAGAAGTCTTATACCTCTGAAGAACTGGTAACTGTGCAGATGGCACAGACCTCCCTTCTGCCTCACTTTTTGATTTAGTACTAACACTTTCTACAGGTATTACTGACTCCAGCAATTCAGAAACCTTTGGTTCTACTATACCAACACAAGGATTTTCTTCCCCTGTAACTTGGGGGACTTTCTGTTTGTCTAAATGCATCTGCTCAGCTTTCGGTATATTAACAGCAATGGGTAACTGACTAGGTTGGAATATCTGATGTGGAGTATTTTCTTCTGTTGGTGTAGCATGAGCAGAAGCACCACTAGGTGTACCAGGGGTTGCAGGGGAATCTGGAGAGATGGACACTGAAGAAGGAGTGGACACTGGAGAGATCAGTGGAGAGGATAGATTTAGTTTGGGTAATTGACGAGGACGTGGTACGGGTGCAGCTATTGGTGTATGGCGGGGAGTCGCTCTAGGCCATGGTGCAGGGGATATAATACTTGTTAGAGTTCTGTTAGGAGTAGAGGTGGCAGCAGGAGGTACTGGTACATTTTCAGGAGTAGGAGGTGAAAGGCTGGGTAATAAGGGTGGTATCATCCCTGGAGAAGAAGGACATTGATCAAGAGGTTCTTGGGTGTGTTTAGGAGAACTGGCATCATCACTACTTACTGGGGAGGTCACATCATCTGTTGTGGACTCTGTTGGGGAGGCAAATGAAGGGAGAACCAAGACCTCAGTTGCCATACTCGCTGAAGAGGGAGTAACAGGTGAGTCTAAGCACTCACTATCTTCACTGGGCTGGGTACACAAATCACCAACTACAGTAGCCTGCTCAGGCTGGGGTAAAAATTCCTGGGAACATGGCAGGTTTTCCGAAGGTCTGGGAACACAAGTGTTGCCCATCTGAGGCACCTGGACTGGAAGCTCTGAAGATTTGTCATTGATGTCTACCTTGTGTACAACTGCATTACTATCAGTAACAACTGCAGCATCTGCACCTGATTCTTTCAAGACCTGCTTTCCTTCACTATTCACCTTCAACATGTCATTCACCTCTTGAATTGACTTTCGTAGGAACTTTACCTGTTGGTACACCATCTCTCCTTCAATTTCAGCATCACTCTTTTCATCTTTCACTACCTTTTCAGGAAGGGCGCTTGCCTGGGAGGTAAATTCAATGTTTTCGTACTCAGGCTGATCTCTGAAAGAATATTCTTCATAAGCATCGTCACCATCAGGCACAATCTGGTCCTCCTCATCACCACTCTCCTCTAGGTTTTCATATACTGGTTGAGATTCTTTTGCTGGAGATTCTACATTTTCATAGACACTGTCCACATTCATGGTAACTTCACTTTGTGCAAGAGTTACATTCTCATAACAAAAGTCATCTGAGGTACTAACACCTTCATAATTCCCTTGCAATTTTTCTCTGTCACTTGCCACTTTCTTGGTTCCCTCAGTTTTCTCCTTCTCTTTCTCATACTCAACATTCTGATATTCTGGTGCATAGTCCACATTCTCATACTCAGCACCATAGTGAACATTTTCGTACTCAGAACCATAAGTGCAATTTTCGTACTCAGAACCTGGTACCTCTGGCTCCATTAGCATTTGTCCACTTGTCTGTGAGGACTGAAAACTAGCTTGGGAAGACTGAAGGCTAGAAGAAGACAACAATGGTTTAGGTTCATCATATGTAACCTCTGCCTTCTGCATTGGTTGTCCAGTAATACTTACATCTACATTTTCATACATAGGACCATCTTCAGCTGGGTCATCACTACTGCTAAGGTCTATGGATAATGGACTTGACTGTCTAGGTTCTTCTATAACAGGTGGGTGTGCCACAATCTGTCCACTGCTGACCAGATCTTGGACAAACTGAGATTCACTTGGTGTTGAAGGTTCCGTTGTGTCACTCAGAGGATGATACTGGATCTCAAGGAATGTGGAGTCTCCTTGCGGTGTCTCTGGGGAAGTCAGAGCAGATCCTAAAGTGAGGAGTTCTGCAGTTGGTAGCCCAAGCAATGAGTTTGGTCGAGATTTGGGTAATTCCTGCTGTGGAGTGAGGTCATCCATGGCAGGAGAGACAGGGAGTGAGTTAGTACTTTCGGCAATGATTGTGACCGGAGGTGTACCTGGAGTTACCAAAGTTGAGGAAGATGATGGGAGAAGACTACCATGATCTGATCCTGCCTCTTTTAATTCCCCAGTTACACCACTACTCATACTTCCTAAAGTGAAGCTCTCATTATCAGATACAATGGCCTCCGCTACAGAGGTACTGCTCATTTCTGATGCGTTGACTGAAGGTGAGGTTCTTAAATGTGTAATTTTGTCCAAAAGCTCTGGATCTATCAGAGCACTGTCTACACTCTGCCTCGAACGTGCATCCTCTGATCCCCGGGTCCCTGGCTCTACATGCACTTCTGCTGTGACAGTCTCTATGCTTCCCTCACACTCCATGGTAACTTTTGGTCCTGATAAAAATTCAGACTGTTCTGTCTTTAAGTGCTGATTGCCCTTATTAGTTTCCGTTGTGCGCACATGCTTCAGTTTGGGTGAACTACTTGGGGAGGCCGGTCTCGGTGAGACTTCATTTCGTCTGCGTGCAGTCTCAGGACTAAGGGCATGAACTATCTTATCTTTCAATGATGCTGATGCTCTCTTGAGGCTGTTGTTCCGCGAGTCCTCACTGGAATCACTGACATAAGCCTCATTCTTGCGCTGTGTAGGTGGCGAAGTGAACCGGTACTTGATTTTGTCTTTTAGACTTTTCTTCTCTACTTTGGGACTCAAATTCTCTTTGCTTCTGCCAGTCTCTGAACACATGCTTAAATTTTCCATGTCTAAAGTTGAACTAGACATGTTATCCGGATCCTCCACTGATGTTGACTTCAGAGTATCAACCTCAAAACCTTTTAGGTCTTTTTCACTGGTGCTGAAGTTCAGGTCAAGCTCACTAATATCCAAGTGTATTCTTGAAGTTTCTGGGGAGAAGTCAAGGTCACTCTCACCTTCCTCTTTCACCGGTACTTGCGAGGACACATTTCCCGACCGACCTTCCAGCATGTTGAAGTAGGAGTCGTGCGAGACCGAGCGGTTGTGTGTCCTTGGGGAAGGGATGGGGCTAGACAGGGAACTACTTCTACTTTCCTTTTCATCCTGTGGAGACCTCTCCAGACTCTCCCAGTCGAAGGCTTCACGCTTTTCTGGAGAATCCATCATCTTAAGGGTAAGAAGAGAAAAATAATACTGTTATATAAGCCAGGCATATGTTAAGCGGACTTCAATGATTGCTTACTTATTATATCACTTCCATATTCGCTGGTGACTCTTTTATTTTACCTGTACTTAGTGGAAAAAATCAAGAGTGAGATCTTTTTGTTTCATAACCTAAGTACAGGTAAGACAGAATATTCATAAAAAAAAAATAGTATTGCCAGAGATGGACGCTTGATCTCTGAGCACCAGTAAGCTATTACAATCAGTGGAAAAAATCAAGAGTGAGATCTTTTTGTTTCATAACCTGATTGTAATAGCTTACTGGTGCTCAGAGATCAAGCGTCCATCTCTGGCAATACTATTTTTTTTTTATGAATATTCTGTCTTGCTATATTCTCAGGTATGTATCATTCCACTTATGGTATAAAAGTATGAGCATACTATTCTGATTCTTTCCATAACATAGATGAGTAACTGTTATGGCAGCTCCTAAGTATTTACTTATAAGCATTATCAACAGTGACCATAGAAATTTTGAAAAAAATAATATAAACAAAATGTTCATAATAATAATAATAACATTAATAATAATAATAATAATAATAATAATAATAATAATAATAATAATAATAATAATAATAATAATAATAAATCAAATAATGATAATAATGATGATAATAATAACAGTAACACCAACAAGAGTAATACTAAATTATTAATAATGAAAATGATAATAATAATAATAATAATAATAATAATAATAATAATAATAACAATAATGATGATGATTATAAAAAATAAAATAATAATAATAATGATGATAATAATAACAACAGTAACACCAACAAGAATAATACTAATAATACCCTAAAAAAATCATAACTCTAATAATAGCAATCACAACAGCTATAATAGTAATGCTAATTATAATTGATTTTCATTAAAAATAAATAAATGCATAAATAAAAGATTTCACAAGAAGTACTTCCAAGATTTTTCCCCATACATCTTCATCACTAATGCATGCACGTAAAGCTTCCACTAGCATCTACTCTACCACTATTTGTGTATGTTCCTCCAGAAAGCTCCTAATTGATTCACAAAAGCATCGTAATATCGCCATGCAAAATAATGATGATAATAATAGTAATAATACTCTCTCACCTATCAGTCGTCATTATTCCCTGAAGCCTTTCCATCCAATTTCCTAATGACTTCATTCCTATCTCTAATTTCCAGGTAATGTGTAATGTATATCCATGTATGTCCATCTTATTAAAAATATAAATGAAAAGAGCATGAATGATAACCATAAACTAAACTGTCCGGTTCACTTCTCAAACATCAAACAAATCAAAATGATGGATTTATAAATTACTTTCTCCAAATGACCTCACAGGTACTAGACTCCACCTCCTTAATAATCCTTGACTATTAATGCACTCAAATAAGTCAGAATGGAGGGTTTATGGTGAACAAGTTGCAAACAAAATAACAGAGGGTATGAGAAGTCAAACAAACAATTTAATTAAAGGACTTTCCACTACATAATCCTATAGAAGCAAAGAAGTGAAAAGGCCTAGAGCAAAGTCGTTTCCCTTCCTGCTCTTCCATTTGTCACTTTCTCTAAAACAACCAGTCAAAATCCTCCTGCCACATAATGATGACAAAAATGACATGCTTTTGAAATGGATATTAAAAAAAAAAAAAAAAAAAAAAATGGAGGGATTCAAGCTCAACTTTAGTGATGTAAACAAACAAAAAGAAACAGCCAATGTTAAGGGTGATATGACAATTGATTGCATGAGGGGGAAAAAGTGACCTTAGATAAAATAAAAATGTTTTTACATAGAAAATAAACATGTATAATGGGTCTAACAGTTACATGATATAGCTTTTATTAAGTTCTACTTAAAAAGATGAAAAAAAGCATTTGTTTACATCTGTGCATATATCCCTTCAATGATCGGTGTGTGTATATGTATATATATATATATATATATATATATATATATATATATATACTTATATATATATACTATATGTATATAATATATTATAAATTAAAATTATATAGGATTATATATATATATAATATTATATATATATATGTATATTATATATATATAATATTAATATAATATAATATATATAGATATAATTATGTATATTATATATATTATAATCTATATATATATATATATTATATATATAAATTTATATATATAACTTATATAATATATATATATATAATATATTATATATATATACTATAATATATATATATATATATATATATAAATATATTATAAAAAATATTTATATTTATATATAAATAATTATATATATATATTTATATATATATTTATTAATATATAATATTATATAAATTATATATATATAATAAATGTATATAATATATATAAATATTATATTATTTATTATATATTATAATTAGGTATATATTTATATATATATATATTATAACATATATATTTATTATATGTATATATATTTATATATTTATATATATATATTATATTATATATATAGTATATATTATAACTATATAATATATATATACTATATATATAAATATAATAACTATTAATATTATTTATATAATATAGTATATATATAATATTATATATATATAATATATATATATAATTATAAATATATGTATATATATTATATATCATACTAAATATATATATATATATAAATATTTATAATATACATAATATATATATATATATATATATAATATATATTATATATATATATACATATTATATATTATAATGCTATTATTTATATTATTATTTTATTATTA